GAAGACGCAGAGAGATTTGATTGCTGCCGAACTGGGTTCCCTCAAGAGACGAGAAAAGCATATAGCGACTCTTGCTTTGAGAACTTGGATCTCAGAGTAGAAGATGTTTAATAAAAAAAAGCAAATATTTAAAGGTCATATTAGGTTCACAGGATCAATAACGCGCTTTCAAACTTTGAAAATACGCACTACTGATCAGTTATACTTGGCAGGCAAACAGTGTTAACTTTCAACTTTCTAGTTTAGCTTACTTGGGAAGATAATGTGGAATGAATAAACAAATTTCTAAAATCAAATTTTTTCATCCAAGACGAGTATGTTTTAGGAAATTGTTGTTAAATATGTTTACCTTAGAAAACGATTCTAACATGGATGTTTTATTATCTGTGGTTAAAAGACATTTGAGTGCTAGCACCAGATAGGCTTTAGCAAAGTGAAAAAGGTTATCTCGCACAAATGCCAGACTATGTATAATTTACAGTTTTGTATGTACGGATGTGTCGAAACGCATGTACACACAACAAGTATGTTAATAAACAAAGGCATTAATGCTCACTTCTTGCAAAGCATTACATACTATAGTATGATAGCTATTTTTGATTCTTTGACAGCGTATGTGTAGCTTCGTTTCTAATAATATCTTCAAATGGCAGAACTATTTAGACCATATATGGTTGTCATGTCCATGCAATGTTGCATATCTTTTCCGGCTACAGTGCGGTCGTCTCTTGTCTATTAGTAGTTTTAAAACTTCATGTGTTTGTAATGTGCAATATGTTCCCCCAAACCCTCAGAAACCTTAACTTTACCGCTCGCATCTTTCGCTTATCCTTCACTATGCCCCAAGCTTGGCAGCCGATAGAAAATGCTTCGAGAGTTTGTATAGGGTTTTGCATATTTGCTGCTACGATAAAGAGATCTGCACACTTATGTATCTCTTGAATTTCTAGTCTGTGTGAAGCTGTTGTTAAGAGTAACGACAAGTCGCACAATTACTATTTTTGTTTTTAGGGACATTACTCAAAATTTTACTAAAATGTTACTTGGGTCCCTATTGCGTGATACCAGTCAACCATCATGAGACAGTTGTTTCTAAGCAGCTTACTTTAAAGGTGTTTTTCATTTCCCTCGAATTTTCTTTTGACGTACCTAAGATAAGTCGGGTTCATAAAGTAAATATTCCTGGCCGATGCGTCGCTGTACTTTTAGGACGACGTCAGCGCTGAAAAAGTAGTGTCACTGACGATCTATCTATGAACTCGGATACCTTAACAAATTGTTAAGGTATCCGAGCGACTGAAATTTTTGGACGTATCAGAATCCTACCAATTCAATCAACTATGGGCTTATTAGAAAGCGGTTATCCAAACTTTTTTTTCTTTTGGCGAGGCGTTTTTAGCATTGAAACTGCTAATTCTTATATTTGACGTTTCTCTTTTTTGGTTAGTTTCTTTAGCTCATTGATGCCTTCTTATACAAGTAGACAGTAACTGTGGTGACTTACTGTTTAGATAACTACGTAGTTATTTTTAAGGCAAACCACTTTCGTCGTAGCAGGCGACGATTTTAGAATGACCGCCATTGCTAATAGTTACGAGTGCGTAAAATTGAGACAGCGAACGTGGATACAGTCATCATTGCAAGATCAATAGTTCGGGAGATATAAATCGATCTCAATTCTTACAAAATAGCTATGACTGAATCGCTTACAACTGTTTCGATTACCTAAAACGTTTGGCGCATTGTCCTTTTGGCTGTTGCTGCTGTTTTATCCTATCCTTTTTCTTTTTCAATGATCAGGATCGGTACTTCTGTTGGTCCGGTGGTTCAGTTAGACACCTCTGATCCATATTGGTGTAGGAGTAGGAGTCATTTACAAATTTCGTAATCGTCCCATACCGGTGATCTTCTACGGCTTGTTATTCACACTCTGTTCGCACCTTCGCATTGTTTCAATTTGGACTTCATGTGAACTAATGCAATTGGTGATGCTTCTGTGAATCAAGATAAAATTTGGAGAACAACATTAATTAGCCCAAAGAAGCAAAAGTGGATATGGCCGTGAAATGCTATAAACTAAGAGACGGAGAGTACTTTGAAGTCACACCAAACAAAGGCTTGTTTTTACTCATCTAGTTCCAAGATTGTAGCAATTTGAAGGTGCAAAAATTAAGCAAATTGGAGTAGGTATGTTTGGCTTCCTTAACTTACGGGTCGGTCCGTAACTCTGTCATCCGCAACGGAATAGAGCAACAAGCGAGCTACAAGTGAACCTGAAGTCACCTCGCGTGCACAATAGAGCTCCCCGTAGGCGTAAAGTATTTTCAGGGATCGTTACTGCTTACCATCGTCGTTACGGAGAATGCCAAAAAAAAACAGCATTAGCAATTCTCGAAACTCTTTGCTCATGCAGTGGATTCCAACGAAAAATGTCATATACTGCATCGAACGATAACTGCATCGGTTTTTTTTAGAGAAACCGGGTATATATCTGGTTTCTGCTGCTTCTGCTGCTATGTTTATTTGGTTACGGAGCCCTCTAATTGGCATCAAGCTAAAACTATGCTGTATAAAGTTGTTGCATCCTTAAGCTACATGAACATTCACCATTGCACGGAATGAGTCTTCCCAGCGTATCAAGTCCTTCAGCTGTTCAAATTGTCGTCAAAGACATGTCGCGGGCTACTAGATCTACTAAATTTTCCAAAAAAAAAATCCGAAGGAGTTAGTGAAATAAAATTTTCCTTATTCACCTTTTTTGGTAGTACTAAAACATTTCATATATACAAGCTAATAAGCAAAATCACAGGATCAAGATGAATATCAGATTATTATAGCTGTATACATCATATACGAGTATACTTTTTTTTTACGTATATATACGAGTTTTTAAACGTTGTTAATTTTGTGGATGTATTTAAATTGGTATCAGAGGCCACGAACGGTATGAGATCTATTACACTTCTGCTCATATCTGGAGCATTTACACATATTGTCTAACTTATCGAAGCCCCGTTATTTACAGAATCTACGGTGTAACCCATGCATGACAAAGCGTGTCACGACAGTCGTTTAATTTGTACCTTTTCATTTGCTGTTCATTGCATTTGAATGTAAGGAATTTCTCATTAATATCTGAACTTTTTGAAGATTGGTCTTAAACGTCTCTGTTGAGAAGTGGCGATCCAGGTCCTCTTATAGCTATGGCGAGTCAGCTAAGAAATACATGAGACGGTTACGGGTCGCTACGTGTAGTATCAGCGCTCTCTTAAAAAAGTTGTTTAGGGTTTCCCGCTGTGAGATCCTTTCAAATGACACGTACCTGTTACGTTGTAATCGAATCTATTTTGAGGTAAAGCACGCTAATAGCAGCTGTGGGAGATAAACGATGAGATGATTGGCGACCGAAACCACCTTACTGCATCTTTTGGAGACGTGTGCGGTATACTTCTGTTGACGGAAATGAACAACCCTATTTACGAAACCTGATTAACATGAACAAGAGGCAATACAGCTAGATACAAAATGTCAGTGGCCACTGTCCTACCTCGTCTTGTAAACTTCATCACCTCCGTCTTGGCCAAGTTCATCGTCAATCCCAACTCTGTGATTCCCGCATGGAGCTTGCTGCATTTGGAACACGTTCAACCCTAAAATCACTACGTGGTGCCCATTTAGCATGACTTCGACTAAGCCCTTTGGTCCTGTTAATTAGTCAAATGGGCCTTTCAACAGATGGAGCAGATGAGGTTAGTTTGTCGACAGTTTTCTGTCGGGCAAAAGTTCGGATACTCTGTTATCGATGGTTGTCCTGTTATTCTGTAGAGCCGCAGTGAGAAAGTTAAGCACGTTAGTAAGGGCTTCCATTTGGACCAACGTGAGCATAATCTTACAGACGCCGAGTCAAAAGCTGCTTTGAAATGCGCGGAAACCGCGTACGTGCATTGCATGATTTAGTCAGTGCTTTTATGACGTCAGCCATGAGACTCCCGCACGCCCTTTCCAAAGCCTTGATTGCTACCGTTGGAATGACATATAAGCTTAAGTAAACATTTAATTTTTTACTTAGCAGGTTGGAGAGCAGATTCTAACACAAAAAAAAATTTATATTCCCCGCCCTGGTAATGGCGTAATTAGATTCTTCCCCCTATTGGACCGTTAATAGGGTAATAAATCTCCATTGGGCTGAGTACCACTATAGTGTACCATTTGAGGTTCTCGTTGTAAACCCGGTCACGACTGGCGGCTTTCATATAGTTTTTTACAGACAGGTTTAAACAGAGGTTAGAGGGTTGAGCTTGGGCCGTACCTCAAGCTTTCAATACTTTGTATTGAAAACCTTTTGGTTCTTACCCCTCGCGTTTAAAGGGTTTATTTTTCTCAAAATGTTGAAGGCACTTTTCCGGCCACTTCACGTTTATAATTGTGTGGAAAGCGTTAAAAGCAGATAATTTTGTATTATATTAAGTCTCTTTCTTCACGATTATGTTATTTGCCTTTGTTGTACTTATGACACATGTCACTGAGTAATTCACTGTTTCCAATTCAAGGCATTTATGACAACTAGTTAAGAAACGCCGCCATTGGTCTGTAGGTACTGTTAATGTACTTCTGCTTCACACGTGAGGCTCTCGATATCTATTTTATACACCGCATAAATCGCCGTTGGCATTCTGTTAGAAAAAAATTTTCTCACCAATGGACCTAAGAGCTGTACAATGCTGTCGTCCATCACTAATGCTGTTTTTCGTGATGGGGCGCGCTGGATCGTTTCAAAATCTCCAAAAAATATGAAGCACTTCGCTAACAGCCGTCGTCAGCGGCGTATACGTTTGCCTAGCTTGTAAGTTAAGCACTTGTCCTTCCAGCTGTGAAACTCGCTCGTGACAATATTATATTTCGATTTTTTAGCTATCTCAAGGTGCACCAGGTATTTAAACGATTTAAACGGCATTTAGTACATTTACGGCGGCACGCTGGAACTACTCCCGAAAACGTTATATCATATTGATTCTTCTAGCGCTATTCTTAAGGTAGCAGGTCCAGTAGAAGTTCATTAAAAATAAGTCATTTATTTTGGGCTTCCTGAGGCGTTTCGTTGCTGGTCTTCAAAATCGATAAATGTCCAAGGGCCACCTAGCGTGAAAAAGGGATTTTGGAAATTGTATTATTTAAATTATTATTATATTAAATTAAGAAATTAAAATCTCGGAGCACCGTTTCCACTAAATTATAAAGGCTACTAGGTTGAAATTAGTTTTACGTATGACCACCTGCCCAACTTTGTCGTCAGATACCCCTCTTGTTTATAGATTTTTTTAAGACATTTTGTCCAAGATCTTATATAAGATCTTGGAATATATATATATATATATATATATTGTTTACAGAAATTTCTGCAGAGTTTTTGAAGTTCTTTGGAAACCGGTGAATTGATTCTACATAATTACCTCGCAGTGTTTCATTCTCTTGTATATCGTATTATCAGTTGTTAATCAACAAACATCATGTTTAGAAAAGAAGCCTGCTTAAAGTGAATTTTTGAAATATAAAGTAGCTTTAAATCCCCCATACTCTTAATATTTTATAGCTATTTTTTTATTTATCCTCAACCAATATAGAAGGGGTTAGTAGGTTTACGGTCATTGCATTCTTTTCTATACTTAATCTTATTTTTAATTTTCTCAACTGTAAAATTTTGTCTTTTCTACCCTGTGTTTAAGTAAACTTAGTGATTTCTAATAACAATAGGAAATTTTAAAAAAGACAACAGTGTTAATTTAGAAATACAGGAGTCGAAACTTTTTACGTAGAATACTATATTCTACGTAAAAAGGGATTGTTATAGATCTACGCGGAACAAAAATAAACGATCCTAAAAGAGAATTGTTGTAGGTACTATTTTTTTGATTGAGTAAAAGGTTCTTATCCGTGCCTTGAACCGTAAACCAACATGGAGGTATATGCGAGGTTACATGGAATATTTCATCCGAGAATGCCAATAGGAAAATACAACTAAAGGAAACTGCCTATCTTCTTCTTTCGGCCAAAATTTACAGATGGTGCACATTGGCGAAGCAGTAAGTGAAATACAAGCTGGTGCGTTAAAACAGGGAAAAATATTTGTTGAAAATATTTGGCGAGCTGGTCATTCGATGCTCCAGGTATTAGACAAAAGCAGTTATTTTTAGATTAAAACACGGCGAACGGTGCATCCTTTTGAAAAGTTGAGCAAATATTGGCGATTATCCGATTCTTCTGCGCTGGACGAGTACTCATCAAAATTAAAAACTTCGAAATCGACAGTCTAAGTTATCGCCAATTTTCATGCTCAAGGTTTCTTCATAAAAGTTTACCTTGGAGGCGGGTCCCTAATAGAATTTAGATTTAAAAGACTCGAAAATTAATCGAAACTTTGATATGCAAAGGTTTTCGATGCAGAAAGTTATGGCCGCATTTTTGAGAATTTCGGTTTGCTATCAGTGCAAAATATAATTTTATTTGTATGTAGCGTATTTTGCTGAGAGACTATAGCTATCGATATCGTTTAACATACGGTTACTATTGAAATGTTACTCACAGACTAAAAAAAAATATTTTAAAGTAGTGATTTAGTTTTCGAATCAAAGCTGTAATCGCATTGAATGGTGCTTTTATTTAATAACATCAATGTTAGAAGTATGCACAAACAGTTTCGTTGAAGAATTTGCTTGTTCCGAAATTACACGTTTAGAAACAAAGCGTAAGAAGTTTAAACCATGTATAGCTCAAGTTTGTTTTCAGAAAATGTCGTCCTGGGATCTACAAAAAGGACTCGTTCATGCTGCCTTCAAAACGTAGTATCATAATTGATGCGTGATATATGTCAATATCTAACATATTACGACGTATAAACGATAAAGACCTAAATTTATTTAATACATTTACGAATACTGCAGATGGCGTTTGTGCAATCAACACACTAATTATCAAAACCTGAATCTGGCCTGAACTACGTTGTGAGAATTGGGCTTGCTGTGTGACTTCACCACGATTGTCGAGAGCTTTGTACACCTATACGCGTTTTATCCCAAAAGCAGTAAAGCTATTTACTCCGAAGGGGTTAAAGAAACTAAATATTTGACCCTAAATCGGGCCTGCAGTCTGCAATAGTGCAAGTCTGCCATTTTTAAAAGTAATGAAAACAATGAATAGCAAACTTGTTTCTTCATATTACATTATTATTTTTTAAATACCTCTGATACTTTAGCTTTTTGGAAAACTGATAGATATATGAAAAATGTAATGCTTATACATTTTTAGAAATGACTGAAATAAAACAAATGTTGTTTAGATTTCCAATTTTTATTTTTAGGTTATAGCTTTTTACGGCTTACTTTTGATAAATTCGCTATTCCGATACCAAATTTTAGTCGCCTTTAATTTACTATCCTATATTTTTAGTATCAAAGCTTGGGATTTGATAGCGAGGATAGGACGATTATGTTACAAGGGCATAATTACCGAATATAGTGATTTATAATTCAATGAAAGCAATGACATCAATCGTGTACAGCAAACAGCTTTCTAACGAAATACGCAAAATTTGGTGATCAGTAAACAACAAATAGAAAGAAAATAAGGAAAACTACGAAAACGTATGCATACTCTTGGTCCATTTAAGGTTTTACCGATGTTTTTTTCTTAGTAAACTCTCGTATTGCTATTTCTCTTCGTGGTCGTCATGAAAGCACTAGATACTTGTTTCGTGTTTAGCTCGTAGTGCGTAGTTTAGTGCTACTATAATTGGTAAAATAATTCTGTCATATACACACTCCACCAAGCTATTATAAAATCTAATTAATCATTACTATAATCATTACCGATACTATAATCATTACAGATAAATTTCAACCACATAAAAACAGATTGTTTTGATAATAAACAAAAAAAACTGAACCCTGTCTTAGCCGTAGTACTAGTTGCTCCACGTTTCCTTCATATCGTAAAACGTTTTATTAGCGGGATGGCCTAACACGTGTCGACAAAACGTACCAATTCATCTAGCTATTTTCATAGATAAGAGGTATGTAAATAATCCACATACACAGATTAAAGCATTTTGAATCATTACTGGCATGAAATAAGGCCTGAGATAGGAGCAAAAACATTCTTTTTTAATATGGTATTCTTTATTCGGATCTTGTGTTTTCCGCTGCTTCAGTGTGTCGATTAAAATGCAGCTATCAGACTTCACAACACCAACAAATCTTTTTCAGTTCAACACCGTATATGTATGATCACGGAAAACTTGAGCCTGAAATTTTATAGAAAAGATTTTTTAAAGAAAAAAAAATGTACAATGAAGTCCCTTCTGTCGATGAAGCAATATTGGTTATAAATATCCACATAAGAACGTAGCTGAGACCCAACAGGCAGTTTTTAAACGTATTCTATTGAGTGATTCCGAAAAAGTTACGTTTACGGATGAGATACTATACTGAGACGGATATTACTTGTCTACCCTTTGTAATACCGTTGGTTATAAACCAAAGCCAATATTTTTTCTTGAAGTCAGATAGAAATCTTAGGGATCATATACTATTACACCGCAATTTTTATATAATATATAACTAATCAGTATGCTTGGAGAGTACCAAAGATGATTCATGTTATATCTAAAAATGTATACACACCGGCCTGGCCCTTCTACGTTCCCCACACGTACTTATGTTTCTTTTTTAGAAAAATATATTTATATATAAAGATAGATCGGATCTGTGGGTCCTGTTCATATGTCTTGATTTCCTCTTTCTATCCAGAATAACTACCTACAACATAGACATGCAATGCTAAATGAAAGCATTTTTGTATAATAATCGCCCGTTATCATATATATATATAGAGTATCTCTAATTTTGCTGAGCTCAAGCATGACGCAAAATTTTAGGTAGTTCGAACAGAATCGCCATAGTCGTCCATCTTAGTTACATCCAGTTACATCCATTCTTATGCAAGCAAGGCCTCAAAAATGTTTTTCGTTCAGTAGGTTGAAACGTCATGCAAAATGCATAATATGCTTATTAATGTTGTACAGTGTTACAGCTGACAACTTTGTGGATACAAAGGCGGGCAGTATTTAATTACAATTGCACAAACTGTTTATTTCATTGCCATGCGTTATAATTGCGATTGGTTTTTGCAATTTTCTAATTATTAATAACTCATACTATAACACTACAGGGAGCTTTGTTGGAGTTCGAATTTGTATTGATTTGTTACCAAATTACATCTAAACAAGCACATTTTTTTACATGTGCGAACTGACAATACTTACGGTTATCTTTATTCGACTAACATCCGTTCACTTCGATTTTCTTCGAATTTTTCAAATATTCTCATCTCTAAAACGGCCGCTGATCTTCGCATTAAGTTTGGGATCATAAAAACTGGGCTATTCGAGTTCTGTATTGAGAATTTTCTGATACGCTTTGAAGAAGAAGAAGAAGAAGACAATTTTTTTTTTTAGAAGCCGCATAAAACTTGGTATGTAAAAAAACATATGTAAAGTGTTTAATTTCAGTACTATTCGCTATGCTTAAAGGTTTTTGACAATAGATGACTTCCTTGTATATACCAAAGATGAACCCCCAGCCGATGTGATCAATTTGAGGTTTGTTGTTGAAAAGAACTGCTTTTCTTTTAGCACCAAGAATAGCGGACGGAAAATTAACACAGATCATTATATAGCATTACTTTGCACTACAATATGTACCATTATAATTCAAGTCTCTATGTCACTACCGTCGTAAGTTACTAAAAATTGAAAGCTCGCAAATATTCGATAATATTCCATGCAGGGCTATTGAAGAGCCACATACACCACAAATATTCGAGACCCAAAATGTAGTTTCATTTAAATGGAGACACGAACCTTCTGGGATAGAAGTAAATGAGAACTGATAGTCAGATAGTTGACGTTTAGCTATTTCTCAAGCTGACGACGAAATTCACTAACTATACCCAAAAACTTTGTTAAGCATAATGAAAATACACTTTATTTTTATAAAGTCAAGTTAGTCATATGGATAGGTAAGTTTACTTCGGCAATACAGCGATTTTGCAATATCAACAAAATGGCAGAACTTCCAAACTATTTAGTTTTTAATCTTCGAAAAAAAAAAAAAATCTAATTCTTCAAAAACCGCATGGAAACTGGCAACTATGTAGGCTGTTGATATCAAATAAACTTTGAGGTCTTGATAGGGGCTTATTCAGGATGAAAATATTAGATAATAGCTGATTTTCGCACGGATTTTGATTACGACGCACGAGCTTGATATTGTGTTCTAGCAAGATCGGGTTTTCGTTTAGTAGCAGATAAACGCATGCCTACTACCGCCCGCCAAAATGCGCTCAAACTTGAACGCGCCACGCTGTGTATAAACCATTTTTTAATAATAAAAAGAATTTTCACAATTCACGATCAATTAAAGCATTGTAAAAAGTCATCTTTAATTAGGTAGCGATACAGTAGTATACAGATATTCAATTGCCAATTGTATTGTAAGTTCAATGAATATGACTTAGTTGAATAACTGTGAAATGTGAACGTACAATATATTGGATCAAATCAACAAGACAGTATCGGATCATTCGCAGCATCCATAAAGCAATTTTTTAGATCATGTCTACGTTACCTTAGAGGGCAGCAGAAATTTTTTTCGTCCGCAGTAGTGTAGGATAGATTAGACCTATACCACTATTAACTGCACAAGCACTTTAGTCAGTTATTTTTAACGCCAGGTTTAGTAATCTTCTCGTACTTGTACTTTCTTTAGTTTAAGAAGGGAAAATAAGTCCTATATAAGGATTCCAGCCGAAATTCCTTAATCATAAGCCAGCCGAACAGTAAGATTTGACGTAATAATCACCTTTCTTGATGATTACCTTCAGACTTATTCACATCATTTTCATAGTTATGATTTGTGTACTTTTGCTACTTCCGGTAGCAGTTTTATCCACCGGAACATATATTTCTATCGCTGTGGGGTTACACGTAGCTGCTTTAACGAATATACTTTTGATTTATCAGGTATTACGCATAATGGCCAGACTGACAATTCTTTAACCATTGGTAAAAATTAACGTCTTCTGTACATTAGAAAGCGAGTTTTTTTTTTAAGGCAAACTGTGTAATGTAAAATTTCCGCTAGAGAGAATTGATAACGGGTGCGTCCATAAAATCGAATGCTCAATTTGAGTCTAAATGCATGTAATAGGAAGAACGAAGGTAATCAGCGCAGTCAATTCTAACCTAAGAGATCAAATACTGTTTCAATTTCCACTACATTGTGCTATTGTCGTTGGTAGTCGTAAGGCAAACATTGAATCGCTCGAGATAGCGGGTTTTTGAAAGCCGTGAACATGGACTTCGCCTGAAGTGACTGATACGTAACTTAAGTGACAGGCAATTACGCTTGCTCGTAGTATTACATTTTCTATGAACAAATAAGTGTAACAAGAATACTTTTAGATACTTTAGATACTGTTAACAGGACGTCGGATATTGCTGAGTACTTGTAACAGTCGGCAAGGTCAGTTGGCTTTTCGTGTACCTGCGCTTAATCAAAATCATCATCCAAGCATAATTATATTCCTTTGGTCAAGAGGGTTGCAATACCACAAACTTTGAGCAGAAGTCTCTCGGTTCGCAGATCCTGGCAGTAGGTCAGGAAGTAAAAAACGACCTAAACCATGACTTTGATACCACAGATCTGCGAGATGTTGTAATCCATACAAGCTTGGTATAGCTGAACTTGGTTAATATAGTCGTCGTGTTTTTCAGTTGCCTCCTTTTGACATGCGTCGTGCTTCAGCAGAACAGCCTCCTCAACTTCACTATCGAGTTTTTTGTTCTTGATTTCGTTCCGAGCACGATCGAACTTGTACACACCCTCGTCGTCGAACCATCCTTCAGCCTAATGATAGGAATTAACAATTTTTGTTAATAAAAGCTTGTAAAAATTCAAAATTCTCTTTAGTAAGAGAAGGATAGCAATTCAGACATTGTACTGACCGTTTATATTGACTATAGATATTATCATTGGGATTTCAGCACACACAAAGCTAATTTCTTTTGACATCCAGTTGTCGTTATTAAGCTAAGACTAATCTTTAGATTGGTCTTAGCTTAATAACAAAATTATCTATGCAATGACCGCGTTCAGTGACTGCCAACGGAATGTTTGTCTAGAAAGACAATGTAGTAAAACGAAAATATTTCTTAGTGTTGGGAACAACAGGATTTATAAGACAGATATGAAAAGGCCTGCTTTCCGTCCAAGAGAGAGGCTATACCTATTTAGGCTAGATAACTTTGCAAAAAATTTGATTTCATGCATTTTGACCTTTACGCTTCGCTTTCGAGTCATGCTACCCCAAAAGGCAAGTATCAATGAAAATGGATTTATCTCAGGTTAAATGCTGCATACATTTTTTTGAACAGAGGCGAAGCACTCGAATAAAATAGAACTTTTTTTTTAAAGAAATTCGAAGTTCGTTCTTACACGTAACGCCTAATTTTAAAATGATAATAGATTTTTATCGAACATTTTGAAACTAGTGTCTGTTTGCTATACTTCTGTTCAGTAAAGGCGTTTATTAAGAACGTTGATTACAAATGTAAGGTTTCTCCCGATATCCCTGTGGATCAATGTTTGCCGGATCGACTCTTTTGATTATCAGAAATAATTAGAGGAAAGAAATACTAAAATCCTAAATAGGTTAAAAAAACTACTGGATGCTACACGTTTCCCTACGAACGTATTTCTCTAATTTTACCCTAAGAGTCACCCTACAGAATCTTTGTTACCTTGCAGAATTTTTGAGCTTCTTCCTTTTATTTAGAGAACATTACGTAAATTACGACATAAGTTTTTACCTTGTTTTGTTTTTTGTAGAGTTTTTATAAACATTATTCCTTCAACCTCCTAATGCTCTAGATAGAATATCTATCGGAGCACATTATGTACGAGAAAATTTTGTGAAAAACCTTAAAAAAAAACTGTAGTTCTAGATTAACCTGTTTCCTTTTCAAAAGAAAAAACAAAAATAGAATTCCTTGGAAAACTTGCTATTTCTCTTATCGTGTGGAGCAACAAAATTTTATTTGACTGCTATCCTCATTCGCCTAACACTTGAGACCAAGGATACTGTAGTGTAACATTTTTATTTTAGCTAATTTTATTTAAAATTATGAAAACTTTTAAACATGACGAAAGTATAGATGCTATAATTCATATTGACCTAAGACCTCTTACGTTTATGGAACGTTAATTATCAGTAATAAGATAGCACAACAAAGAGTGTTCATGAGCACTTAGCATACCTTAAGTGCACAAGTTGTAACCGATTCACGGTGCTTGTCAATCTCCTGTTGTGTCGCCTTTTCGGGATCCGGAAGAGGAAGCGATTGCAAACACTTATCCACTACTGCAGCTTTGCTAGTCTGTGGTATAGAAACAAACACACAACGTTTATACAAGCACTTACAACAAATATTTGTTCAAATACGTAAAAGACACGTAGAATATATATTTTATTTACGGTATACGTGCGCTAAAGAAGCTCTTAGCGGAACTTGTGAAAGAGCATCTGTTATTAAGATCATCGCTGGTGGGTTAATCAACCTCATTACAGCATATCAGATACCCTGAACCTAAGCCGTAGTTGTTTTTCAGGCGCTTAACATGTTTTTTGCCCACAGTAGCATCCAATAAAATAATTTTGCTCTTATTCGAAGACCACTAAAAAAAAACATTTCGAGAACACAGCAAATATACGTCGTCATTTTTATACGCCCACAGAGTCAAATATATCCTAAATAGTATTGCTGGCGTGAAAGGTAAACCACGAAAAGTTAGCATGTTTTATTCAACTCAATTCAGTCGTCTCAATAAGTTGTAAACGTTCATTATATTTTCAACACAGTGTACTTCATTCATATAACTCTAACGGAGTCATATTTTTACAAACGTAACAACAAACTTCGAAAGATAACCTTTCACCAAACCATTTCAAAGCAAAAAAAAACGAACGCCAGCTAATTTAGTTGTATTTTTCTTACGTTACATTGGGTACGAGTATAATTGCATTCAATTACCCACTATACATTAGACACCAAACCAGTTATTAGCCAACTAAGAAAGACCATTTAACACATGAGACGTACGACTGCCGGTCATAATTACACAACTCCGAAGCATGTTAGATGCCACAGGCGTCTCAAATGATTGCACAGATGTGTCGAAACCCACCTATTATATATAATTTCACTATTAGTTCATAAAGAAAAAACTAGTGCTCTATAAAGTTTTTCCTAAAAGTATTTTTTGTAAGCACGAAGGCTTAGCGTTTATTATATTTCTAATTAATTCTATTAATTTCTATATTAGTAAAAATATCTGTTCCTAGTATCCATATAGTCTTTCCGCCACGTATCAAGCACCGGGCAATTCAAGCCTGATAGACCTGGCAGATTTAAATCAATATATGGGTAATTATCATTAGCTTTTTTCCGACAAATATACCAAGGATACCTGCTTCATCCTATCATCTACATTATCAATCAATAGACATAATACTCAAAATGGGCCATCTTGTGCTACACAAGATCTTCCAGTCCAACTTAAGCATAATTTTTTGCATTTTCTCTCCCGTGCATATATTTTGTTGTTCTAATTATTTGTATTTAGAGCAAGCTGAGAAATCTTCTTTCACATTCCTTATTCACCATACCTGGTCCGTTAATCTTAATAAGTTACATTATTTGCTTAAGTCTATTAGCGGCTAGACAAAGGCGTCAGCACGAACGTTATAATGGTACAAGATATTTAGTAGAAAATAGTGAAACCATTAATGCCTCCCAGAAATACCGTCCTTCGGTCGAATACGCAAATCATCTATTCGATCAGCATATTCTTTAAGAAATTCCCGCAATTTCCCATTGGAAGCGTAGATATTCGCGTATCAAAGTTGAAAAAAAAAAGTAAAATTCTCGTCCATACCCATATTTGTTTACCGTATCTGATGCCACTATAAAATTGTCAAACCTACCCGTTCGCTCTCTGAGGGTTTCAGCTGCTCGCACTTGCCCCATTCAATCACCTGTAACAAGGCAGATATATGGAATAGACGAATCAGTGAAAATATTTATACAATGTCTCAGCCAGCGTTCAGGCATATTTAATTAAGGTAATTTGCTTGGCTAACGTAAAACTCACATTTAGCTTAGAAGATTGCTTATATACATATAGAGAATTTTTATGTTACTTAAACAAACGATTTCATTTAAACATACAAAGCACAAGAAGCCCGCAATGGTTTACCTTAGACATATATATTTATATCAACCCATTGCGTTGTCCGGGGGATTAGTGCGGTGGCGTCAGCGCTGGCGTTGAAATAACGGTGTATTATCTTATCACATGTGTTACTAGCAAGCAATACACCTTCGTGATCAAACTGTGAAAGTTAACTAACTAAGCGATTAGTTCGTCCATAGGCAGCGGAATTTGTGTTGAAATTTTATTGCGAAAGCCTCTAGCAGATGCTCTTTAAAGACGCTCAAGGCAAACCAAAGAGATTAGAGCGAATTCCCAACTAGTGATGTTTGCCCTATGGCATGTAAGTTAGCGATTAGATTTGTTCCTGACAAGGTATAAAATCACATCCAGATATTTTTATTAGTTGCCACCCGCAAAATTGGTCAAACTGCGTTTGTATTATTTCGGAATTTTAACAACAACATAATTTCCTTTTTTCAAAAAAGTACTTATATAAAGTACCCTTGTATCGAAACCGTTCGTAACAAAGCTAAAACTGACGTGCGATTTAATCTTTCACCTGAACGTTTCCGCTGCTGTGTGTGCCCACAGTTTGGTTGATTATTCAACTTTTTTTTTTACTTGATTTTTACAATTCAAAACAAACTTTCACAGCTTTACTGTGGCCCTGGCTTCAAAAATTGTAATCTTATCCTCATATTGTTGTTTATTTATACATTGAAGAATAGACCGCTTCGAAGGTAAGAGCCCGTAGAGGGAAATGAACACTGTCCAAGATGAACGTTTAGGAACAGTATCTCGGACATGATGAGCAGATAATCAGATGTCGCCTTATGTCTATGATATAATAGAACAAGTCGCAGATGCTGGAAGCATCTGGCAATCCATCTTCGCCCAGCTTAGAAAAAACACTGGACAAACACGAAATAAATGGCAAAATGAGTAGAATTTTTATTTTTCCTATGGAGGCGTATGCGAGTCTGTGCACGTTAATGTTGGTTAAATACTTTTCATCAACCAACGGCACGCCAAGCGGCATTCCGTAGGTCGGTTAGGCGACGTCCCGCCTGACTATGCATCTAAAGTAAATTCGGGTGCACTGATACAAATGCATAATACCATTCTGACGCAAATCTCTAGATTTTGCTTTATCGTTCTCTGTTACTCTCTGCCGCTGCCCAAGCTAGCTGTTACTAAATAAAATTGATACTACTGTTGCAATATATATGGGATAGCGACCGCATATATATGTGGTCGCTATCCTTTGAAGCGCGACTTTACTGCTGTCGGCAGCATTATACTGCTTTTATTAGCTTCATCATCATTAGCATCATCATCATCTGCTACAGCAGCGACAACGATACTAACAGTGGTGGCGTTTTGTTGCAAATAGAAGCGATGCTTTCTGCTTGTTTGGGCACTATTATTACTACTACGACTTCTACTACGATAATACCTCACATTAGTTTACGCCGCTAATGCTACCGCTCTGGCGCTACTATCGCCGTTCTTGTTGTTGTTATTGTTGCTGATGCAGTTCGGTTCGCATCCAAGGTCGTCCAGGGGTTCCAAGATAAGTCAACCAAATGTGCTGTTAATGTCAATGATATGATTCGATTGTAGGGAGTACGTTGCGGAAGGGGCGTTTTTAATAATGAGAAACAGAATCTATGCGAAAGCAGCACTTATCTCCGACCACATCTGCAGCTTATAATTCTGTTTTTTTTTCAGCCTGACTACTTTTGCTCGAGCGACGGAGGTCGAGCGGCCGGACGATTCAACTAGCCGTGATGGTTAGAGATTTGAGTAAACTGAGACTTCTATAGCCTGCTGCTTTAAGTTGGCTTCAAGCTGAGTTATAAAATACCTACAGCCATTTTACGTTATTTTATACAGGTTACATCTTCTGTCTGCTGTTTACCTAGGACGCCTTTATGAAGGCCTTCAAGGAGATACAGGAATATGCGTGGATAGTTGAAACGTTGAGATGGGATATACACATACTTTGAGAGCTAGTAGTGGATCTTTTGAGAGTTAAATTCATGTTCTTTTTGAGGCGCTTCTACTTGAATATTGTAGTTTTTATCTCACTAGTAACCGCTGGCTATCTGATACATTGAAGCAACGTTTAACGGCAGTACTGCGCGTAGAGATCAACATATTTATTTGACCATCTCGTAATTTCTCTCTCAGCAGGGCACACTGGATCTCTATTTATATGTAGTACACGCCATAGTACTTTAGCGTGCAACACATGTTATAATGCAATACGTACTCTCTAGATTAAAAAGCTAGAAATATACCAATATGCATACAAACAGTCAGCCAAAAGATTCGATGATAGGACGCTTCTAACGCATCTATTTGGAACAGTATTCACCCTATCACAAATTATACAATGCGACTATTTCTCATATAACATATATGTTATATATATATATATATATATATATAAAAAAGCACAAATACAACATTTTGCAATGAACATAGATTCAGCAAGAATCAATAGCATTTAACTTTGCTTCTTTCTTTTAAGGCATTCAAATTTCAGAAAAGTACCCTTGCGCAAACAGAACTTGAATAAACAGAACTTAGGAAATGATTCAAACCGATGGTGCCTGGACTCGGCATCTGAACCGAGTTGCAAAATGAAGAAGCGCTACACTTCATCATACGATATTACTTCACTATAAATGCTGGATGTGCTATGAGGAGCTGCAAGCCAAAGAAACAATACAGAGCCAGGAAGACACACACCTACGCATTGTTCAAATTGCCTCGCATTATTTGAGTATCTTTGTTCATTTACGAGAGAGCAGAAATCATGCGGATATCTTACAGCAAATATCACAATTGGGCAGTCAAAGTATTGTTATTAAGCAGGTTAAGCTGAAGAAGAGGAGAAAAAAATTCTTTATGGATGCTACTGGACGTAGGCGTGTTTTACATGGACGATGGATGGAAAAGTAAATACTTACGGGGACCTTGGCTGGTGTGGCGGAAGCAGGTGCCTGAGGGGCGGCCTTAGCCATGCCTACCAATGCGATGATCACGAAAACCTTCATGCTGGTAATTTTGATATTGCAAGCCCTAATACACCGAAATGACTATTTTATGTCCTAAACTTCTTACTCCAGAAAGTAATGAAAGCCACAATCAAGGAGGCGCTGGCGCTTCTGCTGAAGAGTGTCGCTTTGGTCGTGCGTTTATATTACGGCAGAAGCATACAGTGGTGGGTCGATTGCGGCGGAAGGGGAGAGGGCATGCTGTTGCCTCCACTCCATAAACAGGCAGTGCTTTTGGTACTGCTGTGTTGTATTGGTCGCTTGCCAGCATTCAGGATTCACTGACACTATTATTCATATTATAACTGTGGCACTATCATGCCGCGGCGCGCACACAAGGAATACCGACATTACTCGCAGTGATGACGACCGCAGTGCTGCTGCGTTGCTATCGTCTACTCGTGCCTCGCTGCTGCTGCTACCAAAACCCCAGCACCACCAGCATTACGAGCACAGTTGGCACCCCGCTGGTAAGAGGTGATGTCATCTACGCCCATGCATCCATATGGCACCATCAGCACTGAGACTAAAGGGGACGAAACGTGAGCAAACGAAAACTGTTGACTGCAACAGATAACAGCAATAGCTGGTAGCGGTAATCCCGTCAGTAAAGCACCCATTTGTAGACCATGTCTTGGTTCCAGGCTAGTGCCACTGATATCAGAGATGATTGCAAACGTCCCAACAAGCAACATTAGCCATAGCAACAATAAGCAACATTCACAGCATCAAGTATTGCACTATATAACTAGTTAATCATCAGCATCCCAACCCCAATCATAATATTGCCATTTGCTCACCGTCAACGTCATCATGTCCCTTCCCCTTCTACCATTATAGTAGCGCTAAATAGTATAATAACGCATCATCATCACATGTCGGTCCGGCAAAAACGTTAGCAACAACAATCTTCAAATGAACAGCTTAATCCGCTTTTAATAGTCGAATAACTACCACTGTTAAAGCATGTGCAAAAATTACTCAAAACATAGATTGATAAAAAGAACTTCTACTCTTCTACGATGCAAAACATATATTTGTCAAACTGAAACATGCTGCCTTGTAAGTCGCATTTCTTTTCCGTAGTACTTACAGAAAATATTGTTAAGACTGAATGCAAGAAATGTGCCTTCTTTATGACCGAATTGATCGTCGTTGGTTGTACGGCTAGCAAGATTATACTTTCCATTCTTTCAGCGCTACTGAACCATGTATCGCTTTCATTGAAGTGCAGACAAAGACACTAGAATATATTTGTTGATCCTTTATTGCTCCAAAACCCAATGTGACACCCCGGTTTTAATTTGATTATATCATTGATATTTCGTCAAAAGTGACCTGGTAAATCAATTTCCAAGCTTCATATTATTAGAGATCAAGAACGTATCATTTATACAGGTACTAGCAAAAGTGGTGATTTCCTTTTTTTGAAGCATAAAAACGTCTTCTAATTGCAAGTCAGTGTCTTTCACTTTCTGTTCTATAGTATGATGCGAAGTCAAATGCATACGTAATAGGCATGTAGTAAACCTAACGCTTCCAAAATGCGTTGATAACCAGTTTTTTATTTTTTCTGCTCAATTTCTCCGGCCTATCGCCAGCATAATGGATAAACGGAAATGTTTGGAGAGATTAAATGAGAAAATGTAAGCGATAGCGCCACATCCGGGCCATCCCATAACCTGGTCATTGGTTTATCATCGCTTTTACCTTATGTTTTAGTAGCCTGTTCAGTAATAACTTCGATCTGAATTTTTACTAAGAATGGTATCATACCGGTCTACATTGGGCATTACATGCCCGGTGCATGTCGCTATTAATATTCTCTGCGGATATGGTAAATTACGTTTCCTCTATTGTAACATTTCTGGCGCTAGCAACTTTTCTTTTAGTACAGACCGTGTTTGAAAAATTTATGTTGCAATCGCCACCTTTTAAGGATATAGCTTTTAAGGATAGACTAAACAATGGTTTTACCCTTAAACAAGAAATGCGAGACTTCATTATTTACGAAGTGGTATGCCAACAATAGCCTGTTTCAAATTGTATCTGGGAATACGTATGTTTCTACCCTCAACTAATTTTCTGTAGCCAATCTACACATAATTAACGATCTAGGGTAAGCAGCGTATCTAACATATTGAAAGGTGAATAAAATTCACCTTTTTCGACTAGTTTTTAATAATTTACAACGGGCGTTTTAAGTCACTCAGTATATAGCGTGACAAAGTAAGCTTTGAAAAGTTTACCCTTTTTGAAAAGGTTTCTCCACAAAACTTAATTTTTTTATTCTCAATAATAATATGGACCAATGTGATTCTTTGCCATTTGGACAATGACCTATTTTTCCCGCTGTTAGAGAAGTGTGGGGTGCTAGTTTTGCTCTATTTATTAATCAATTTATGGACAGCATAAAGATCAACTGCAATTCTGACAAGCTGAAAAAAAATAGGTGGTCTTTGCTTGTAAGTTTTGTTACCAACTTTCGTCTTGTAGCAGGTTTTAGCTTCATAAAGCTAGCATAAAAGTTAAACAAGCCATGTCATAAATGTTCAGGCGATAAAATAGCAAGTGGAGTTACCTCTATAATCTTGTGGCGTATAAGATGGTAGGAGTGAAGGATAAGGTTTGGAAAAGCAAAAAAACTTAAAATCAAAATAATCTAGCGACCTTCGATATGAAAACCTTTCTGAACGAATCAAAGTTATGCACTCATAAGTTGCTGAGATTAAGACTTCTCTAACTGTAAATTGTCTTTAATATCTCCAAAGGGGATCTCGATGTCACAGGAGGATTTAACTAATTTTCTCTGTTAAGGAGTTGGCGAAGCCTTGAAAAAATCTATAGGAGCAATGGTGTTTAGTGAATGATAAGAGCCTTTAACTGTAATTCTTACACTTTTTTTCCGGCGTGGTTCTTATAGTATGAGGTCAAGCTTTGTCGTCCAACAGGACTGGTTTTCCTGTGTTTAGCGACCTTGGTCTGCTTGGACATCTGCTTATCATCCCTTCTAATTATTGAGGATACGCTTCGGCCGTAAGTACGAACTGTAGTGGATGACACCTGCATTAATCTTTTGTAGCTGTACGTCTGTTTTAAGGTGATGTCTGACCAGTTCCGTTGCGTCCACCACTGACGTGATCGTTTGCCGGATCCATTTTTCATCACAAAACACAATTCGGTGTCAGAGTGGGTCACTGCTGTAGCGTAAAAGCAACGAGAACTAAGCCTTTCTCCACCTCTGTCTTCGATCCTCTCTCAAATTATGCTGCACCCATTTGATCAATTCTTTTACCTTATTAACTTGACCAAGGTGAACAGGTATGGTATTCTCAAATACATCAAATCTAAATACTGTACACTAAGTTGTACAATGGGTTGACTTCTCTTGCGGGGCTCTCAGCTCTTGGTTATTAAACCTCGCAGAAGTTTACCAAAAGGTTGGAACCAAAGGGTTGGAAATGTCTTTCTAAGCCAATGGCTTACGGTGTTTCTTGTTTGTGAAACCTTTACCGTGACCAAAAGTTATTCGGCGAGTCATCTCAGCTGTTCTATTTCTAAGATGGAGCTCGTATTCGTAAATTACTCGACCTTTCTAATTTTTGTGGCTGACTACAACTCGACTACTATAAACCTGGGTGACGGTATCCTAGTAAACGGTCTCAGATTTTAAAGAATGCAACTGTATCTTAAATACAAAAAAATGCCGTGAAATCTCGCCTCGGTATAAAAAAGGTCATGCTTGTCACATGTCATACCGAACGACTTAATATTACAATAATAATCACGTTCTTATAGTTATCAGGATTGTGTATAGTTCGTGATACTATGTTAAAAAATGTTTTAAAAACATTCTCACAATATCGCGAAGATTTCTTGGTTCATGTACCTGCGGGCATGTTATCATACGCAAAGTTGTTTACAGCTTCGAAGTACGCGATACAGATTCGGTATGTGGAAGCCTGATTTAATACATAGCATATAATGAACGCTATGTATAGAAATTCGACGTGACGGCTCAAATGATCTACTTCCTTCTGCATATCATCCCTCATTGTTTCGATGTTGTGGTGATAACTTTCGATTTCCATGAATTAGTGTATCTAGCTGTAAAGATTTTGCGTGGCACGGTAGTAAAGCGCGGAAGGTTAAAGTGTATTCTTTCTAGTCTTTAGCTAGAAGCGATGTAGCCTATTCGGTGTTGAACGGTGCAATCCTAAGGCACATTTTAAGAACGGCGCCTTCCGCTCATTTTGCTTCTCATAATTCTCTCTGGATATATTCAGCCATATCACGTCAATGCTAAATATTGCTACAGGATTAGCTTTGAGACGGAAGAAACGTAGGGCCATTGAGGTAGACAGACGCTGCGAATTCTTTATAGTAGCTGCTCTATCTAATGCCTTTCTGTATCTTTCGTGTGCGATGTCAAGCTACAAACGTTGTACAATCCCAGGTAAGAAAACTTATTGTCGTAAATTAAATAAGTACCTCATCTTGCCTTTTTGTCTGAGCTTCATTATATCCGTCTTTGCGAGATTCATCGTTAAATGAACTCGGTGACGGCAGTAGGTGATTTAGCAAGGAATAGCTATATCTGGAATTTGCTACATCGATGACTTCCCTGCTTGCGAATAGGGGCGCCTCAACTAAGTTTCTAAGCTCTAGAATCTACAGGCAGATTCCTCGACAGCGAAGAGAAAAGAAAAGAATTTAGATTGTCTTCTTTTTTCGGTCCAGTGCTTTGGCAAAACGATAGCAGCTCAGAGACTCTGTTGAGGATCGTATTCCCATTTTTTTTGAAGTAACGCAGCGATAAATGAAGTCGTTTATGATGACTCTTACTTCTATAAAGCGTATTACTACTGCATTCATAGTAACGGAGTCGAACGATGCTTTGAAACCAAAAATGTATTTGACTTGAATCTTTGCGGAACTTCATCAACTGCTTAATATTGCTGTCAGTGGTATTTTATGTACCGTTGCCGTTAAACGCCCGTTTCCAAATCACGTTACTACATGGGAATTGCACTGAAATAGGTTATGAAATTTTGTACGGATTGCTAATAATACAGCTAACTGTTTGAAGTGAAGGTTTG